TACGGAGCTGCGTGGTGAGCACAGAGCGAACTATTCTTTCGCCTTTTACTAAAGAATACCGTGTGCCCGCCACGATAAAGCAGCATACGCCTATTTTTGAAGGGGTATTTCCATCCGGAAGCCACCCAACTATACTAGTCTAAGGTTTTCTTTTCCTATTAATATTAATTCAACTTATGAACATAATAAATATTATTTCCATCTCAAAAAAAAAAAAGATAAAAAATTAGTAGTATAAGATTGAGAAGACTAATTAAATCCTTTACGTACTCTGGAACTGATTTCTTCAGAGATATTGCATCTCAGCCTACTGTTGAATGGAGAGATATAATCTCAATTGAACAATTAATGAAGGAAATTTGTGAACAATATAGAAACACATAATTTGAAACTAAAGGGAGGGTAGTTGACATCTCAAATATTGGAAATTTTGATTCCGAGCCCTGGTGTTTGTAACTCTTAAAATTAAACTTACTGTAAATCGTTTTCAAAAAAAAAAAAAAAAACTTACTGTAAATTAGTAGAAAAACAGTATTATGGATAATACTGTGAATGCGATTTTGATATGATGATGGTCGCAATCTCCCGTGATAGCACTGAAAATGAAGCCGGCTCGCACGTTGAAATTGCTTAAAAATTGAATCACCTTAAAAATTGCGTATGAAACTTTAATCTTTTGCAAACGGTCCAGTTAATTTGTGATCGCAAAACACTAAATAATCAATTGGTCTATAATCATGAATGGTACTGATCAGAAATGAGAAAGAACATAAGCGGGGAAAACATGTACCACATTTAATTGAGAGATCCACAGTACCATATCTGTTTCATATTCTGTAGGATGCTACATTTGTGGTTGCTCATTTGTGTGCACTGTTCAGATTGTTATATCTCACCTAAAATAATGTAATTCGTGGATCCAAAATTTCCAAAATTTTATGACTAAAGCCATGGCGGGTCTTCGAATATTTCGACCACAAAGAGAGGGGAAATATCTTTTTTATTGTTTCCAAAAAGGGAATGATACATCGAAGAAAAATAAATTCTAAAATGAGATAGTCATGCCCGAATAAATACATTATTGTTCCTAATTACGTTAGAATTTATTATTATATTTCTTTAGAAAATGTTTTTTTTACTGAGAATTTAAAAACACTGCCGTAAGACAGACGGCATATTTGAACCTGAATAAGTATTTTTAACTATTGATATCATCACGTAACGTACTTGTTTTGTGCATTTCATTTTCTACTATTTTGATCCATATTCTCGGCTTGTTATAATCGAGATCTATTCAGCTAACATGACTGACGAATTGTCAATGAGTTATAGTTTTGGATCTACAGGGGGTTTCTAATGTATACTATGTATGCATGACTACATCTACATGACAGCTTTGAGAATAATCATATGACTATATTTTTTTTTTTTTCTTTTTTTGGTTGAGAGGCCTTACTAAATTTGAGAGTGGATTTCATCATCTTTTGGAATAAGGCCACTTTCGCATACATTTTGCCTCGAATTGCACCGACACCCTAAACACGGTTCAGGCATTTTCCACCGCTGTGGGAACCAAATGGTTATATGCATGATTTCTTTTTCAATTGATACTACGTCCTACAAAACATTAAACAAATTTCATTTTTTTTTTAAAAAAGGTACTCCCTTCGTCCCAAAAAAATAGTCTATATTGAGTTTTCAATTTTGTACGGTACAACTTTGAAAACTCAATGTCGACTATTTTTTTGGGACGAACTGTACAAATTTGAAAACTCAATGTGAACTATTTTTTGGGATGGAGGTAGTAATAAATTAATTTTCAAAAATATTTAACGGTGAATTATTATTATTATTTATTTATTTATTGTAGAAAGAATCAAAATCCATCCTTACAAATGATATACAAGTGAACATGTATGTACGGTTGTAGATGAGTTCGACAAATTCAAGGATAGAATGGGACTTTTAAGGAACCGTTAGTAAAAAATGTTCAAAGATTGCTTGTAAACTTTTCCAATACAACGAATTATAAGTTTCATGATGAGAATATTTCAAAAGAAAGGACGAAGGAATTTTTATTTCCGCTCTACTTGTACTCATGAATGTCACACGACATAATGCAGTTTTATTACAAATTGCTAAGTTTGAATTTAATATCTTATAAGAGTTACACCAAAACGAGCTAACTATCGCAACAATTTGAATAATTTCGAACCGTTTTTGTTTTCCTGGCATCAAGCTTATAATTTATTGGGTGAAGCAAATTTAAACTCCACTATGTGAGGTGATCATCGGTTGATCTTTTTACTCGATGAGGAAGTTGTATAATAGGTCTTTCTCTGTGTTAATTTCTTTCTTATACAACCTGATTTGACACATACGTCGACTACTGTTATTTAGAGATATTAATGTTTATTTTGAGATAGACAAAAGGTTAAAGAATGAAGTCAATTCGAACAGCACATAATAAATTCATGACAAGATATCCGTGTAAGTCAACAAAAGAGGGCATAAATAAAAAAACAATCGGCTTATTTTGATAGGATAAAACAAAAATGAATTAACAATAAAGTCATTGAAACTATATAATGAAATGTGATAATGAACCACATTTAATAACAAAGAGATACGATGAAATTTTGTTTTTCATATTTTCATACGTGTTGCCGGATAGTTTTTCAGTTGCATCATTTTTCATAGAGATTGTTTTGATTATTTTTAGAATAGAAAGAGTTATGTTATAACCAGCCAAGTTCCTGTGACCTCCTATTTTCTCTGCACCTCTCATGCATGAATGTTTATTTCGTGCTTCAAAAAGAGGTTCCTGTCAATATCAACGGGAGGCCAATATAAATCGATTTTTATCAAAAGTCATTTGGAACCACGTATAAATAATGTCAAAGTCACCTTCGGCTCCACACTCAAAATCAATTAGCTGTGAGTGAGTTGACCTTTGGAGCTTATAAACATATGACAGATTCTTCATGACACCGATATGGAATTTTATAAATAGGTGACAGATCCTTCACGACACCGATGTGGAATTCTATTTCCCAACATCCCTCCTCAAGCCCACGGGATATTTGGTTTATTGAGATTGCACAACACAACGTAATATTTCACCACAAGCTCACCCGAGTGTACGGATACAATTCACGAAAGTCCAAAGCACACGGATCCATAATTCTCCACCACAAGCCCACCCGTGTGCATGAAAGCGATTCCCGCAAGTCCAAGGCAAACGGGTTCACAACTCTTCCGGGCTTCCGCACGTATGGGGATCATTGCAATCAGCTCTAGACGAACGAGTCCATAATTATCACAGGTCCACAGATCATGAGCTCTGATATCATGTCAAAGTCACCTTGGATTCCACGTTTAAAACTAATTGGCTGTGAGTGGGTTGGCCTTTGGAGCTTATAAACAGGTGACAGATCCTTCATAACACCGATGTGAGAATCTATTTCCTAACAAACAAGCCAAGATATGTTCAGTTGATTTCAAGATCAATGTTTAACCACCGACCTTGCTCCTCCTATCATCCATTTCCCTATTCCAACTGGATATAAATAGTAATCTTTCAGTCTCATAAAAATAATTCACTTTATTGAATTAAAGTACCACGAAAGATGTTTTGTGGGATATTGCACAAATGTTTAAATTTTGTCGAATTCTGTTCCACACTCCCGCGCTGAAATGTATATTTGCACTACAAAGTACGAACTCATACGAATTACACCAGCTACTTGATGAACCTTCAATTAGAGAAATGCAAGGCATGAATTGACTTTTTGCAGCATTCACTAATAATTAAATAAAGCTGCGAATGAAGAAAATTAGAGAGAGTCAAACTAAAGCTCATTCTCCCTAATTGATGATTTGGCATAGATCCATTGGAAGTTCAGAGAGGTTGCGTAATAATATTCTTCCTCCGCAGGAGAATGAGTTCAGAAATATGAATCTTGGATTGAAACTTTCATGATTACTAGACTAGAAAAAAAATTCAGAAATGTGATGGATTCGAATTTAAAGGTCGCACAGACGTTGTCTTTGTTTGTATAACATAAACTCCATGGCTAAACCGAGACATATATACTTTAGTTTCGTACTTGTAACATAGTCCACTTAATTTTAATTATGAACCACCTGAAACATGTTGGGATTTGTTGGAAAATGAAGCTTTCGCAGATCCGAAATTTCCCAAATTATTTATGAGTAACGCTTTTTTCGGGGGGCTTTTTAATTACTGTATATATATTTCGCAAGGAAAAAAAAAACAAATTGTCACTTTAAAATTGCACCAATCTATTGGTTATAAACTTGGACCTGATAAATTATTTTTGTCAATTATTGAATGATGTAATAGAAGTCATATGGTGCACGTTTTATTTCTAATTAAGGGTGTAGTGCGATGATGCAGACCAGTGACTTCATTACAGACATTCACCTATGTACGGAGTCACGTGTTTGCTGTTTCAACAACCAAACATTATTTTCGTACCTTGAATAATTGGAACAAAGCTTAAGGAAAAATCTTAGTTACAAAATATCAATAAATACTCTCGATTATGAATAACTTGCGAAACTGTTTCTAAAATTGTTCAAGTATTCGACCCGCGCCTAATCATTTATCTATTGAAATTTCTCATACAACTTCATGAGGGGTTAACACTAAATTAGAGGATATTCTAGTAACAAAAATTTGGTGCAAATGTCAAAAGTACTAGACCATTTCATTATTAATTAATACTTGGGTTTAAATTAATATAATCTCGGTATTAGCATGTAAGAGTATTTTTATCTCGAAAGAACTTTATTAGAATTACGTGAAGATTACTGTGAATGGTGGTATGTGTTTGCTTAAAATTCTGTATTGAAAAATATTAAATGAAAAGACACGTGTGCTGAAAGATATGGTTCTTCACATGAGCAAGTATAGAAGAAAATCAATATATATTTGTAGAGGTGGTTTAGAAACTATATATATACATGCAACATTAGCCGAAGCTAATCACATATTTTACATCTTTGTGTTGTTTGAGAGGTGGAGATTTAAGTATAATTCTAGTTCTCGTCTTTTGGGTTAGAACCAGTTCACCTCCATTTATTGCTTCGCGTTGCGCCGAGCATGGATGATGTTTTACTTGCTGGTGACTCCAAGCGTCAACGCCGTTCCGGCAACTTTCCACCAAGCATGTGGGAAGAACATTTGCAAGCATTGTTGGCTAATTCTGATGATTTGATGAATAAGGTGACACTTAACAAACCCAATGATTCTATGCATACATTTATCAATGATTTTTGTATTATTAAACCTTTCCACGTCTTAAAACCTAGTTCATTTTCTTTATATTAGTTTAATCTAACAAAGTGGACTATACAGTTAACATGCATAATCAATTGTTTGTTGCAGGAAAACTCTTCCGAACAAGAGGAGGAACATTATGAAAGACTAAAAGAGGAAGTGAGGAAGATGCTGATTACTAATGAAACTGATCATGGTGACAAGTCCAACCCCTACCGGCAAAAGTTGGACTTGATTGACACTATCCAACGTCTTGGAGTTGCTTACCATTTTGAGAGTGAAATCGAGGCAATATTATTATCGCTTCGAATGGAACTAGAAGAAAAAGATGGCGGCCATGAAGAGCTCCATAAAGCTGCTCTTCTTTTTCGATTATTAAGACAACTTGGTCACTGTGTATCTTGTGGTAAGAAATTATTTACATTCATTTTTCTATACTCTTTCCGTCCCGAAATTATTATCTAGATTTGATTTTTATTTGTAATACAAATTGAATTAAAAGTGAAAACCCAAACTAGATAATAATTTTGGGACAAATAGAGTATTAGTTATTTCTCCCATCTGAAAAAAAAAAAAAAAAAGTTGTATAGTAGTAGCCTTAAGTTTTTCTTTTTCCAATGGAAAAGGAGTAATTTATGCTCTTTTGCCCTTAAATATGACTTATGAAGGTCAAAAGGCATTGGCATTGGCATCACCTTGGTAGCTAGCATAATACGGTTATTATCACTAGACCGTTCACTTAATTTTATATCTATAAAAGATACTGTGAGTCAAAATTTAAATAAAGTAAATGGTACCACCAAATTATAGAGAACAATATAGAGAGAATGCAGATCTATGTTTACAATTGAAATATACGACTGACCATGTTTTATATATGTTTGCAGATATGTTTAACAAATTTAAGGATCAAGATGGAGATTTTAAAAAATCCTTACAAAAAGATGTTCAAGGATTGTTAAGCTTTTACGAGGCAGCGAATTATAGATTTCATGATGAAGACATTTTGGAAGAAGCAATGAATTTCACAGCCTCCCAACTCCTATCTATGTTGCCAAACCTCGACAATTTTTGGTCCACCAAAGTTAAGCAAGCTCTAAAACTACCAATTCAAAAAACTCCCAGTCGGGTAGGAGCCAGACGATTTATATCTCTTTATCAACAAGACATATTACACAACACAATTTTGTTGAAGTTCGCAAAGTTAAACTTTAATATGCTTCAGAGACTGTACCAGAACGAACTAAGTATCATAGCCAAGTAAGTAATTTCAACCTCTTCATTTAGAGTCAATTAACGTTAATTGTTAGATGCATAAAGCAAATTTCAATTTGATGCAGATGGTGGAAAAACTTGGATCGTCCTAAGAAGTTTCCATTTGCTAGAGATAGAATGATAGAGAATTACTTCTGGATTTTGGCCGTGTATTTTGAGCCCAAATATAGCTTGGCCCGAATATCATTAAGTCAAGTGATAAATGTAGTTTCCATTGTAGATGACATCTATGATACCTATGGATTCTTGGATGAACTCGTCCTTTTCACGGATTCAATAGAAAGGTAAATGAACCTCGATCTTCAAAATTTTGTCACATTCTCTTAGTATCATGTTTATTTCCTATGATAATTTAATCACTTGTATAACTATCTATTACAGATGGCATATCAGTGCATCTGATCAGTTACCCTCATATATGAACAACTGTTATTTAGAGATGTTAAACGTTTATTCGAAGATAGAGGAAAGATTGAGTAATCAAGGCAAATCGAATCAAATTAGTTATGGAATATCATCTGTAAGTGCTACTTATAAAGATTAGAGTCGTATCCTGTTTTCAATGAAGAGTGCTTAGACGACTAACATTTCCCTTTTTTTTGTGTGTGTGTGTGTGTGTGTGTTTCAGATGAAGGAATTAGTGAGGGCATACTTTGAAGAGGCAAAATGGATGTATAGTAAGGATGTCCCAAATTTTGAAGAGTACATGAAAGTTGCGCTCATGAGTTCTACATATAAAATGTTGCCAATTAATTCTTTGGTGTGCATGGGGGAATTTGTGACTGAAGCAACCCTCGATTGGATGGACAAGACGCCATTGCTTATAAGGGCTGCCTCAATCATTTGCAGGTTAATGGACGACATCGCTGATAGTGAGGTATGTTAATTAAGGACGGATCAAATGTGACAAATGCCTTAAATAAATTAAGAGATAGAGGGAGTAACCTTTTCTTGGGATAAAATGAGCACTAACCAACTAAACAATGAAAATATATACTTTTAGGGCTTAATTACTTAGCCATCAGACCTATTTTTGTAACTTCTTGTATCTACTTATTTATTACAGTGGGCAAAAGAGAGGGGACAAGATGCATCCGCGGTTGAATGTTACATGAAACAATATGGCACTTCTAAACAGGAAACTCTGATTGAGCTTCGAAAACAACTCGCAAATGCTTGGAAGGACATAAACAAAGAATGCTTCAATCCTACCTCAGTTACACCTATGTTCGTCCTGGAGAGAATCCTAAATTTTGTCAGAATAATGCATCTTCTATACGAAAGTGGTAATGATGCATATACTAATCCTACCAAGGAGGGTAAAGACCTTATAATATCCATTTTGTTTGATCGTGTTCCTCTGTGATGAATCAATGTAATAATTAGATGTTTTCCATATATCCAATAGCCACTGGTTTGAGTTATTCTAATTAAGAGACTTTGAACATGTTGGTTGTAGTAGGGATTTCATTCTCAATGTTCTTAGCCTATTTCATTTAAAATGAGTGTTAGTTTGTTCTCATACAAGACATTGAAATGATTAAAGAAAAAAAAAATACCACTCTGTTTCAAAGCATAAAACACATATATGTTTCTTTTCTATTTTTATATTGTACATCTTGTGACTTAATTACGATCATCTATTAACATTAATAGTACATGTATTTTTTGGTCCAATTGTTTTTTGTGCCTTAATTATCAATATTTTTATATATAAGACTTTACGCTGACAATTTCTTTCATCAAGAAAGCCTTTAGAATATATGGCAGGAACTCTTTTCCCTTTCTATGGGGGCTGAGGGTAATCCACATAAATCTTCAACTAAATTATCAGACAAATATATGCAGAAATATTTTTACTATTTTTAGGCAATTCAAGAAACTCAAGTTCTAGATGGTTTTGCTTTCGTCATCCATACTGAAGATCAAATGGGGCAATCAGTTTACTCCCCTTCAGTTCCAGATTTGAATGAAGCTGATGAAGTAATGCAGGAGGCGCATCAATCGGTGGGACTCAACCTTAACCAGCCGGCGCAAGATTTTCTGGCGAAATTCAATAACCAGGTGGAACCTTCTCGATCTCAGGCACCGACTCTGAACAAAAGAATCGTGTCAAACACCAGGTTTGACTGTTATGTCAGCCAGGGGCATGCAAAGGCAGTGACAGGTGTCTGGGTGGACCAACAACTCATGCAAACGGTAGTTGAAGGAAATTTGAATTTGCCTTCTATTCAGAAGGCGAGTTCTCATCAGGAAGATTCCAATTCTCCTCCAAGTGAACAGGGGAGAGCAGCTGTACTTGGCACCAGCCAAGTCAATATTGGTCATGGCGGGGTTAGTCAAACAGAAATTCCGTCGGATAGGCCCATCGATGTCACTTCTATGCTAGGATCAGATAGTGGCACCACTGGTCAGAATGCTTACAACCCAGGCCAAAGTGCAGATTTTGTTGGTTTCGATGACGCTATTATAAGGCTCAATGGTTCTCAGTATCCCTCTGTAATTAGCGTTAGTAATCATGATATTAGTCAATCTGAGGGAGATAACCATAATGGTTTTCGTCAAGAACTCAGGGGTGATTCGATAGAGGAGGCTGCTTTCTTCCATAATCAATCTTCTCATATTCTTACTAACCCTTTGTATTCAGATATCCTCAACGTCCCTTACGCCTATGATTCTTCTGGTAAGAGTTCTCCAACCAAAGTTGTGGAGAATGTGGGAAATTTATCTCTGCGGCATGCTCAGCAGGACTTTCCAGGGATTAATACTCCATCCAGCGTTCAGAGAGATGAGGAGTCCTCTCAGGTCGGTCAGACACAAATCCGAAGAGCTGCTAAGGAAAAAAGGATTGCAGAGGATTTAGATCAGGGTTCTTCTGCAAAAAAAAAAAAAAGCCAAGCTCAACTCAAATGACATCAGTCAGGAAATCCATAAGAGACGGAACAAGCCAGTGGTAATCAGAGATACAAGGGTTGGCAAAGGCAAGCAACTTACTACTCTTGTGGAAGCTATGGGTCCTAAACAGGTTTTACAATCCAAGAGGAAATTAATTCATATTGGGGAGGAGGCTAGTGTCTCAAAGGGCTCGACGGTAGTGAAGAATTCTAATAAAAGACAGAAACTCATGGGTTCAAAAAAGCTTGTATCACCAAGTCAAGTGTTATTTGCAGTAGCTTCTTTGGTGAAAAAGCTTCAAGAATTAGTAGATGAAATGGAATCGGCTGGTTTGCTGGAACTTGGTGAACAAAACATGTTAGGCAGCCGCACCAACACCTATGCAACATTAGAAAACAATCATCAAGAAGGATTTCCGATGGTTGAACCAAATCAATCACCCAGGGTTCCATGAGAGTCGTTTCATGGAATTGCAGGGTATGCAACGTGCCCCTGCAAAGCAAATGTTAAGACAGCTTATTAATGTACATAATCCTAGTATTTTGTTTCTACAGGAAATGTTGCTCAAGAATGATGTAATAGATAGATGGGCAGAAGGTACTGTATTTGTGACTGGGTTATTTAGTCTTCTGCTAATGTAAATGGTAGGCTAGGTTTATTTTGGACTAAGGAGATTAATCTAGAACTCCTTAGTGTTAGTAGTTATATGATAGCAGTTAAGGTAGTGGACAAGGATAAAATTTTGTATTGGGGGCTCTTTTTGTTTATGGTCACCCTAGGGCTGATCAAAGATCCTCAGTTTGGAATGAAATAAAAACAATACTTTCGGCGTACAGGCTCCCTTGGATTGTTCTTGGTGACTTCAACCAGATTCTTAGTCCTGTTGACAAGCTTGGTGGAAATCGAGTTTCTGTTTTTTCAAACATATTGGGGGAGCTGCTACTTCAATTCAAGATGAATGAATTACCCTACACAGGTAACCACTATACCTGGACAAATAAAAAGAAGGGTGTTGATAGGATAGTAGAACGGTTTGATTGGGCATTTGCAACAGAGGACTGGTTAGGACACTTCACCCAGGCTAGTGTGATAAATCTGCCAATAGCAGTATCTAATCACGATCCTATTGTTCTTCATTTATTTGGTCAGAACAGAATGACACAGAGGAAACCTTTACGATTTGAAAAATTTTGGGCCAGCATTGATGTGGCTGAAAACATAGTGGGGAAAGTTTGGGAAGAGCAAGAAAATGAGCCTAATGTTCTTTCTGACCATTTGTCAAACAAGCTTGTTATCGGCCTTAGACATCTCTTAAATTGGAATGCTATGTCTTTTGGAGTTCTGGACAAGGAAGTGAAAAAGTATTTAAACAGGTTGGCGACTCTTCAAAAGAATGATGACATAGTGAGAATGAAACGCTGGTGCAAACTTTGAGAGAAAAGGTGGAGACTTTATTGGAGCATCAGGCTTATTACTGGAAGCAAAGGGCAAAGGTAAGATAGAATCTTGATGGTGAAAGGAATACACATTATTTCAACAGTTGGGCAACAAGGAGAAAGTGTCGTAATTGGATAAGTGGCCTGAAGGATAACACCGGAAACTGGGAACAGGATCAGACAGAGATTCAAAATCTAATGCTCAATCACTTCAAACAAGTGTCCCTTGAAATGGACACCAACGTTTCTGAGCTAGAAAAGTAATAGGTGTATTCAACCATTATGGATTTAATTCAGCCTCAAATATCACAATCTCAGAGCATAGAGTTACAAAGACCTTTCACAATGGAGGAGATTTGGGCAGCCATAAAAGGAATGGCTCCTTGGAAATCTCCCAGGCCCGACGGAGTACTTGCTGGTTTTATAAGCGATACTGGAAGCAGATTAAGGACACTGTTAAGGATAGTATGCTCGGGATACTGAACCAGGGGAGCTGGTTTTGAGACTGGAATCAATCCGAGGTTGTTTTCATTCCCAAGAAGAAAAATCCACAGAATCAAGCTGACTATCGCCCCATAAGTTTATGTAATGTGAAGTATAAAGTTATAGTGAAAGTTATAGCTAATAGACTTAAGGGGTGTTTGGATAATCTGATCATTGAGAACCAGAATAGATTTGTTCCAGGAAGGTGTATCGGGAAAAATATTATGCTGCCTTATGAAGCAATAGAATATATTCGGCTCAAAAAGGAGGGTGATACGGGGGCAGCGGCGTATGTCCAAGGCATACGACAGGATAGAATGGTCCTTTCTGAAAATGGTAATGGAGAGGATCGGCTTCCCACAGATCATAGTAAATTTGGTCATGCAATGTGTTTCCTCGGTCTCCTATGCCATAAGCTTTAATGGTTGGCAATCGGAATTCTTTGAGCCAAAGCGAGGCCTCCGACAAGGCTATCTGCTTTCCACGTACCTATTCATAATAGGTCAACAAGCATTCTCGATGGCTTTAAAGGGAATGGAGGCTGGAACTCTGCGCTTTGGTATTCAGCTGGCAAGGAGGGCTCCTAGACTTTCTCACTTGATGTATGCGGATGATTGCATCATTTTCACCAAGTGTACAGAGAGCTATCTGAAAGCTTTTAATGAGGTTTTAACCCGATATATGTTGGCATCAGGGGTAAAAGTTTAATCGAGAGAAATCGACAATTCTCACCAGCCCAAACACGACAAATGTTATGAAAGAGAATGCATCAAGATGGCTGGGAATTAAGAATCGCTCGTATTCAGGTAAATATCTGGGCATTTCACTTGACTTTATGCAGAGAAAGTCGATATTGTTTGATAGCATTGTTCAAAGAACAGTTGAAAACCTGGATACATGGAAGTGCCATTCTTTATCAACCATGGGAAGGATAACTCTAGCCAAGCACTCTCTGTCCACACTGCCTATTTATATGATGGGTGTTTTCAGGTTACCGGTGAACATCACAAAAAAAATAGATTTAGTGGTCTCTAAATTCATATGGAGAGGTGATAATGAAGGTAGAGGAATTTATTGGCGATCGTGGGAGCATATGTGCAAGTCTAAATTCAGGGGTGGTGTGGAATTAAGAACAGCAAAGGAACTTAACCAGGCCCTTTTAGCCAATTTAGCATGAATATTATACAAAAATCCCACTTCATTATTTGCCAGAATATTGAAAGCTAAATACTTTAGAGATGATGAGTTTCTGGACTTTAAAATGACAAGGAAAGCATCATGGGGATGGAAGGAGATCATGTGGGGAAGAGAGCTTTTAGTAAAAGGATTAAAATAGAGAATAGCGACGGGTTCTTCTATTGGTGTGGAGGAAAACTGGATTTCGGGGATGTCTAATCCGATAAAATTTCAGCAAAGAGACAGTCATTGTTTATCTAATCTGAAGGTGAGGGATCTGTGGGATTCTGATCACAAATAGAATGAAGTGACTGTGAGATCGTTATTTCCTCCTGAAACAGCAACGAAGGTTTTGGCAACTTATATTCCTCATCAGCCATGTAGAGAAGCAGATTCGATGTTTTGGGAGAAAGATCGGTTTGGTGAATATACCGTCAAGAGTGGTTAATATGAAGCCTCTAATGCCAGGGATTCCGATGTAGCGTATGCTTCGACAGTAAACAATTTAAGTGGATGGTTTGGCGCAGCTAATAATCCTCTTCCTACGAACCTGGCTTTGCATAAAAGGGGCATACCGGTGGACACTCTTTGGCCTCGTTGTCAAAAGGAGGAGAAGTCAGTGAAGCATCTTTTGTTTAACTGCCACAGTTCTCAAATCATCTGGAAAAGTTCTATTTTTGGATTTGACTTCAGTGGAAATTCGTCGACTTCTGTGTGTGAATGGCTGGACAATTGGCTTATAGAGTCACCAGAAAAGAGTCTGATCCAAGCCTCATTCTTTATCTTCTGGGCGATTTGGATTGCCAGAAATGATAAAGTGTGGAATGGAGTCGACCAGCATCCTTTGCAGGCTCTGGAGTGGGCTATGAAAGAATCACAATTCTTTAATCGATGCCATCAGTGGCGACCAGTAGAAAATTCTGTACAGGAAGAGGATCGGGGTGTTCTAGTCTTATCGGAAGCTCCAAGTATTCCAAACTTCGTACTTAGGGAGGACGGAGCATTCTGTATAGATCTGAATTTTTCTACTGCTGCTTGGGAAATCCTGGATGCAACTGGAAGATTGTTAAAATATGGCTCATTTTGTTTTTATTCTTCTTCACCAGAATATTCAGAAGCAATGGCATGTATTGCAGTTTTGAAGGAAACACATCAGATGGGTCTGTCCAATTGCCAGTTTCAATCAGACAGCAAAATATTGGTGGAATCTGTTTCAAAGAGATCAAAGTTCCCTCATCATCTCCAAAGCATCGGTCAGGACATTATGCACTTAATAGATTGTATTCCGAATATTAATTGTGTGAAAGTCAGTATGTGTAGAAAATACTGATAGACTTGCTAAGGCGACGTTAATGTCAGCCTGCTCTGCGTAATCTGCTCTCAAGTTTTGATTATAAAGATATGTTTTCAAAAAAAAAAAAAAGTTGTCCCTCAGTTTATTTTTTGTGCTAGCAAAATCTCAATCGAATATGTGTTTTGTTTCGAGAAAAAAAAAATAACGATCGAGCTGTCCTAGTAATCGAAAATAAAGAGCAATTTCATGAAGATGGTCGTGGACACCGTCATTTTTTTGCTAATGTGGGTTGCAACAATAATAATCTGGTCGTTCAGTTTAAAATAGTAAAACTATCCAAGACGTTGAATAGTGTCGATCATGTCAAACTTAATTGAATTCTCCAATGATATAATCATGTGATTAACCTCAAAATAATTGCATTTTTATGTAGCATCTATAGTATATTATACTAAGAGAGAAACCAGAAAGAGAAAATCAAACCTCTCTTCCCGTTGACACGTAGGACAATATCCTATGTGTCAGTTTCCAATTGGTTGCAACAAAAAATATTTCCAACAATTACACCAATAGTCCTCTAAATTTTAAGTGATTCATTTGTTATCAGATTGAAATTAAGAGAATCATATCAGTCATTAATTAACAAACCCACAAAATCAGCAAAAATCATAAACATCAAAAACTTTCTATTTCGTGATGATGAGATGAAAAAAAAAACGGAAAATCTTTAAAAAAAATCCTTCATTATATGTTACCCAAAAAAGATAAATATTTATTTTATTCATTAAGTAATCTGATATGATTTGAAAATATGATTCGGTTGGCGAGAATGAATCCAATCACATACAAAAACAAACATACAAATTAATTATATTTTGAAATTCAAATATAATTAATATCAGAATCATCAGTATATATTCTAGCCTTTCATTAATTTTAAAACCCAAAAAATCAGCCTCAACCATAATTTATGCTAATTACAATAATTATAGAGTTATATATATGTTGCTTGAAAAACCATATACGGCATACACTCTAAAATTATTTCAAAATTCAAAAAATTGGTAACAAACATAAATTATCAATAATTATTTTGGACAAGAGGTTGAGCATTATATGCCTATAAATATTGGGACATTTTCTAGCAAAACCTCACACTTTCTTGCATGCTTCAGTAGTTTTTGTTTCATTTTCTTCCCTCTAATCATATGACCTAATTAAATATGATTGAAACTGATTGTCTTTAGTTGTGTTCTTTTTACAGGTACAAGACGTGAAGAATTTTAACAAATTTAAGATTGACTTCCAGCGACCGAGAGCATCAATCGACAGGAGGCAAATTATAGCAGAGGCATGGACCAAAATTTTTATTTTTATTTTTATTTTTAAATATGGTTTTTGCGTTATGTGTAGATGAAAGATGAACATTGCGGACTTTCTTGTGCACAGTGCACATGTGTTAACTTAAAACATAAATGTTCACTCTCTTAATGTTTTTTCCTTAATCTGCTTCAATTTTCTTGTGTTGAATTTCTTTTAGGCTCCGTTTGGTTGGATTGAATTGTAATTGAATTTGAATTACAATACTATTGAATTGAAAATAAGATATGAAGATTATAATTCAATCTTAATTCCTTTGTTTGGAAGATCTTGATAATTGGCTAGAATTAAGGTTCTAATACCAATTATTGCATTTGGATGCATAAAATTTTAGATAATTTAGAATTTTAATTAGTTTCTTATTATTTAACAAATCAATTTAACTCATTTCAAAAAATAAAAAAATAACTTTAGTTTCTTATTGATATGATAATTTATATTCTCACTCAATTCACAACAAATAATGAGTAAAATGTTCTTGTCTCTCTCCCGTGTATGAGATTTTAACATTTTTAATTTCTAATTCTTGGAATTTTTTAGTGTCTTTTAATGAAGAAATAATATTTAATATAAAAATCAGTTTATGATTCTTTTATATATAGATATATGTTAAATTTCATTTTATTATATTACATAAATCTATTAATGTGAAAGTAAAATTCTCACTCAACAAACAACTAAGTCCTGGGTCCAATCTATTTGTTTTTTCTCAATTTATTTTTAACTTTTAGGACTTTGAAAAATTATATTTTCAAATTCTTAAAGTAATTTTCTGATTTGAATTTTCATTTATAATAAAAATCTAAACCAAACAATCATTTTGAAACCAAGAAAGTATTAGTGTGCACAAATGTATGTAATAAATATGAACAAACTTGTTTGAAAAGAAAGATAAAAAATTTTAATCATTTACTATCATATAATCAAAAAAATTCTTTGATCAAAGCAAATGCAATTACTTATCAATATTTTTCAATACATTTTTTGTATGGAAATATTTTGATAAACGTTTTGCAACAAAATATTATATTGAGTTAAAGAGAGTGATTTTGATGCTTTAATAACTATCAATATGTTATATATCTGTTCTACTTCATTATTTAAATTAAGAAAATAAAATTTGAAGAAAAAAAATAAAAAGAAAAAATAGAAAAAGAAATACTTAATTTGTTATATCAAAGTAAAATATTACTTATTGCATATATTAGATACAAAAGATAAATTTATTATGCACATATATATTAGAATATTTTTATTGTCACTAATTTAATTTTTATTTCTTTTCTTTAAAATTAAATTTTTTATTTAAAAGTACAAAGAAATGTGAAAGAAAAAACACGCTGGGAAAAAAGGGAAAAAAAAAAAACAACAGCGCTTTGTGTCTCGCGCTAAAAAAAAAACTTAAAAAAATTATTTTTTATTTGAAAGCACAAAAAAAAACCACGCTGGCCGCTGGGCTTCGGGAAAAAAAGAAAGGAAAAAATAGCTCAAAGGGCTTAAAAGCAACCCGTTTAGTTTATAATCCGGAAACGACCCGTATTTGACCCGCGAATTTAAAAAAAAGGCTGGAATTTGAATTGTAATTATTTGTTCCCACAAAAGAATTGAAAAATAAAGAATTGAGAAATATCTTGAATTATACTTCTAATTCGGAAGATCTATTTTTTCAACCAAACACAAGAATTAGAATTGAAGGCCTCCAATTCCAATTCTTAGGTCCAATTCAATCCAACCAAACAGAGCCTTATTAATTTTTGTTAAAGGCGAATGTGGTGTGTTATATATGTGCGGTGTAATTTCCATTTTCTCGATATCAATTCTAAGAAAAAATTATACTTTTTATCTCTTTATTAACTGTTTGAGAATCCAATATTTGAGTATTTCTAACCATTCAATCATAATTAATAAATAATTTTTATTTTAAATTAATTATTCTTTAAAGTTATTGGTTTACATGATTTTGAGCATAAATTTGACTAGCTGTTACACTATGATAATTATTCTTTAATTAATTTTTTTTTATATAATACATCGGAAAATGAAATCATGTATTACGAGGCTTACTTTATTTTTGTTTTCCAGGAGTGAATCTATATAAATATATATGTTACTTTTTCATGTATCACATTTTTCTTTATTTAAATCTTAATAATTAATATTTCATAAGATTTATACACACAATATACACATTTTTATATTTTCTTAAAAAAAGTATAAAAAAATTGTAGCATATTCCGCACATCGTGCGGGTTTAACATCTAGTTTGAAACTAAAGTATATTCAAACTAAAATCAATTTAAAGACGCCAAATGCTTTTATTGACTGACCTTTATTGCATTCGTCATGTTAGCCTCAGATTTTTACTTATGATATAAGTATATAAAAAATGAAATGTAACAAATAAAAAAGCAATCTTATTTTTGTAAACGATAAAAAGAAAAATGACCTTTTTCTTCGCAAAATATTAAAGACCGAAAATGACTTCCTCATAATAATTTGGAAAATTTGGATCCACCTGTGGTAGTGGACCATTTTGCTAAATTTTCTTAGAATTGGATAAGCAGATTGGGTGATATATTGCTTCACATTCCTTTTTCTGTAAATTTTGTGTTTGGAGATCTCCCAAACAGACGATATTAAATTAAATTTTAGCGACTCATTGGACATCAAATGTTTGGTAATAAATTACTGAGACCATTTCGTCATCCTTTCCCAAACTTCGGTCTCAAAAAGTGCCTCCTCTAAGAATAAACAAGCAAATAACAAACGCGTTAGAAGCCAATCGAACAAGATTATACTCCTCATATAACGGATAGAGTAGAACACAAAATGGAGCTTGCGGGAAAAGCGGTTCTCATAGATGCACGGACGAGCAACGGGATTGCAGTGTCAAATTTATAACCGCAGATATCCAATTCACGTCACTTTTCACTTCGGATTAAGCAGACAGTCTGAACTAGGAGGGAAATTTTTTTACTACAAAATTGTAGCGGAAAATGCAAAAAAAAAAAAAAAAAAACGGTATTCACAAAACAAAACAGGCCATTCTCTAATCAAAAGTGAAAACAAAAGTTACTGTAAGCAGCAACCAGCTTAGTGATAGCATAATGTTTACTACTATGATTGACCACACAAATCCTCACTACTCAGCATGCACATATCATCCTATGCAGTCAAAATTTTCCCACAGAGAAGATGGGAAAGATGCATCGTTTATCTTGGAGAGAAACCCTTGATTAAACGCGGAATTCTTAAGCATACAAGTAATGAGACCTTGCAGGCATTGCATAGATGAGATACAATGTCCAAGACAGAATGATAAAGGTGTCACCAAGTTCTCCTTGACAAAACAATGTCCAGATGAGAACTGGGAAGAAAATAGCATCCATAATGTCTCACTAAATAGTTGGCAAGTATAGTTTCAAAAGTCATAAACAGGAAGAGCTCTCCAATGATTTCCACAATTTGTAATGTAAACTCTCCCTTTGGTTTCAGCTTTTACGTCCCTGTATTGTTCAAGTTTCTGTCTCATTCAACTGAGACTTTATCCATCCAAGCAGATGAATTGACAGATTCAATTACTGAATAATCAGATTAACATAGGCAAAACTCTCATCTCTACTATCATGGAAGCTATGAATAAAGGAGGACAAGTGAAGAAGGGAGCACCACAAGTTCCAGAATAAGAAAATCTTCTGAACCAAACAAAACAGGACTCCTTGTTGGATAACAACAAAGCTCTAATGTACTTTCTACATTCGTCAGCGGTTGCCGTATTGAAATCTCAATGATTTAGTTACATCATGAGTAGAATAACTTTACTTGACCTCAATAAACTAGCAAGCTACAAATTGTAAAACACAGGATGTCCCAAAAATAAGTTTTTCTAACACTCACTACCCAGAGAGGAATATGAGTACTGTTGTAATCATAAAGATTCCTGTTGAACTTCAGCTTCAACAGATATCTCAACTTAAGAAGCAGAAAGAGAGAATAAATGGCGGGAAAGGGCAAACGAAATGCGGTAGCTTTTAACATGACAGATGCAGTAACTAGTAGGTTTAGAACTAAGGTTTCCAGAATCAATCTAATACCAAAATAACAAGATACTTAAATAGATTAAGTTCAGTCACTAGTACTTGAGTGTTGCCAGATTTTCCCAACCACCTTAACTGTACTGATAAAGTCTAATCCCAGAACAAAGTTGGACCTTCCCCGCACGACTATTAAATTAAATACAGTTTATTAAATGGAAATAATATTTATCTCAACTCAGCCATTTCCCTTGACAGGCCAATGTCGACATGACTAACATTAGGAGGAGCAAACAAACAGTACTAAAAGAACAAAAGAGGCAGTTTACCAGTTAGAAGTGAATCAAAAGTTACTATAAGCATCTAGCTTAGTAATAACATGGCGTTCACACCAATAAATGAAAATGCAGTCCTTACTTTAGCACTTCGCATGCAGATTTTCTACAGTCTATCTTTAACAGGTTCAAATTTCCTATGCAGGAGATGGAGGAATCCATTATTCATCTTCCCATTGGAACAAACTATGCAGAAGAAAAGTGACAATTGCTACAAGTGGTGAGACTCTGAAGGCATGGATGAGATACAAATCTCCACATGAGAATTGGAAAGGTGTCAGTATTTTCTCCTAGCATGATATAGAATCCGCAATGAGAACTGCGAACAGAGTTCTACCTGTGCTATCTCTCTAAATAGCTAGATAGTGCTCCGTAAGCCCATTTCCAAATAAAGAGAAGAGATCTAATAATTTCCATTATATTACGAATGATCGCCTCTAACTAACATACACAAATATCTCAAGACAAGAGGAAAAACATGCCCAGAAATAGGAAAGTATTCATACAGCATGTTTCTAGAAGTGGACTTTACCTCAAGTCCTTACGGATAGGCTTTTTAAAATGTTGAAAGATAAATGTGTCAGCATACAATGGATAGTTTTTTCTGATCAAGCCTTTTATACATTTCCAATAAGAAAAATCAACCATTTCTCCATCCTTTCGAACTATGAATAAGCATCTAGACATCTCAAAATCTGGGTGATAGCCAACCTGTCAACCACAATAAAAAAAATCCCCGAATAAATCAACTTGTAAAGTGAAATGTTAATAATATTGGTCAAAGAGACAGCAAAGATAAATAAGTATTTTCAGCATCATTTTCGAAAGGATGAGCCAGAGACCGTAATATAGTCTATTCCACTTCCGATCTTTAGTTCATATTCTGGATGATACGGAAGCAACCTTTCTACGATCGTTCTTTCATGCTCAGTACTTAGCCTATCCCCACTTTTGTACCTGCAAAAAAAACACGATTGAAAAGAATGATAATATGTACCAAACATAACGATATTAGTTATAACTATTTGTCAACCTTGCAAAAAGAAAGCACTAATAGGCCATGACAGCTTTTAGTTCACAATGCGCCCTTAACCATGCAACTGGGAGTAGAAGTAGAGCAAGATGAAGTTTACTCAACTCATTCAATAGAAATATCAAAGTAGGCATATTCACATAAGAGCTAAATTCATTTCCTCAAGCATTAAGGTTCACCACTAAAGTTGTCTGAAACAAACAGAAAAGATAAAAGAACGGACTGGAGCATTAATATCAAAAACAGCAACTCAAATTCATTTGTAAGCTCTGACATACTGAAGGATCTAGCCAATTTTACTTCCAAGTAGGTCTTAAGTTTACTTGGGTGAATGAGCAACTTGATTCAGGACATAATTTTAAGTAAAATTCATAAACACTAAGGTCACAGATCATAATCATCAACTCAAATAGACATTCTCCAAGAAGCCTAAAAAGGATATTTAATTACTCAAATTTTTGGATCTCCAATAAGGAACACCAAAATAGAACAAGAATATTCCCTGAACCTAAACACAAATAGCTTAGGGGATAAAAATCAGTAAAGGGTGTAATTTGCATCACTATCTTGCACCGACTTTTCCAAACAAGAATCTTGTCACCCATAAACCCGACTAGTTCAGAAACAAAGGATCAGCCATGTCCAGTAATTCAGAGAAACACGTAACAGATTTGGAATAGAGCAACTAATTGCCCAACATTGTGGGAAACTTGCTCACAAAAAAACCATCCTGGGATTCCACCGCTATCATATCAGCAAAGAGATGGTCAGTATTCCTAATGTTTCACACAAACGCAAAGGCCCAAATCATGCTCTTAAAACTCTGAATTCCATTCCAACAAAAAAATTACGTATTTTCTAATCCTCCAGAGCAAATGAGGAGCAGGCACATCCTATATTATAGTTGTACTTTTCACAGAGCCAACTGAAAGCAATAAAAGGCCAAGTACTTAACATCGCCTTATAAGTGATCAACTTCAATACATACACAAGGCTTTGCATCCTGATTACTAAAATAGGCATTCTGCTTCTGCCCTTTTGCTCAAAAAGTTTTCTCACACTTGCTACTATCACAAATGAAGGATTCTGAACAAGATGGTAAAAGTTTACTATAAGAGCAGCATTTACAGTGTTTTCCCCCACGTTTCACTCCAAAAATATTTTCCCCCACGTTTCACTCCAAAAATAACTAATCCCAGTATTCTTTACAGGGCAGTTATACTCAATATTCGGAGAGGGGAAAAAACCTCAATGAAAATTTATCCCAAAATGTTCGCATGCTCAGTACTTGGCCTATCCCAACAATTGTACCTGCCAAGACAAACACGGCTGATGCTAATGATATAGAGTCCATACGTAACAGCATACGTTGTAGTTTGTACATTTATTTTCCCAAAGGGAGGCTTTTAACAGGTGTAGCAAGTCTTATTTTACAGTGTGTTAATTGTCTGCGCACACAAAAACCATGCAATTAGAATTTTGGAAGTGTAACATGATTGAGGCTCAATTATTATAACATACTGCATACAGACCAGAGTCAAACGATTTCAATGGAAGTGAATCCATTCTGTCAGACATTTCAAAAGTATTTGGGAAAGTGAAAAGAGAATATGAAGTCGATAATGAGCTGGTATAAAGTAATAGGCTAAGAACTACAATGAATAGTTAGAAACAGAGATTAAAATTGATTTAAACCGAGGGATCTACTATCCTCTAACAATACCTATCTTACTTCCACTAAGGTTTTGCATTTTACTCGGTGAATCAGCTACTTAATTCGGAACATATATTCGAGTAAGATCAATAAACACAACAGTCAAAGATCAAGATAATCAACACGAAGCAGTCATTTCCTAAGCAAGCTAAAACGGATATGCCTGTGGTAAACATTCTCTATCTCCATCTCATAATGAAATAACAAATAAACAAGAATCTTGCAAAACCATAAACACATGCAGCTTAGGGGGGGAAAATCAGCAGTATCAACGAGCGTTATACCATTCAATAGGTTGAAGCAACTTATCAAAAGAAGAATCTCGCCAGACCATAAACGCAAGCAGCTTTGAAAAAATAATCAAGTAGTTCAAGTACTTCGCAAAGAATCACATAAGAAGACTAGAAAAAGAGTCAAATTATGTCCCCAAAAAATGAAGGAATTGCTCATCTGAAAACCTTTCCAGCACTCCGCTGCTATCATATCAGCCACAAGTTGGCAAATACTTCTAATATTTCCAGCAATCTACTGCTAGCTAGCTCCGTAAACTCCGACTTCCAAGTTCAAACTAAGTTTACATCTTTTTTACTCCATCACAAGGTTTGAAGAGCAGGCATATCTTATGGTTCTACTTTCCATGGAGCCAATTGAAAGAGACTTAACATCAATTAATTTGGCAACTTCAACTTACATAAGGAAGCTTTTTAAGTGAACTAATTTTGCTCTGAAATTTTTCTAACAATCCTTTATAATCACAAACTTAGAACTAAGAGCTGTGAACGAAAACGTACAAAGTTTACTATGACAGCAAGTATTGACATCGCTTCCCAATTCCCACTTTCCAGTCCATTTAAATCAACCCAAAACCCATTTACAACTTCTGATATGCCAAATATGTTCAAAACATATGGAACAGGGAAAATAATAATGCATAAAAATTCATGAGGCCTTACTTTCCAGAATGAAGAATCATCCTGACAAAATTAACTAAAGGAACAGTGTCCCGCAAAATCTGCTCCTCCCAATCAATCATTGTTTCTTCATCCTCACCTCCACCGTTCTCGTCCTCGCCATCCTCTTCTTCCTCCTCCTCCTCTAGCGCAGGCGAAATTACCGGCTTCCTGAGCAACTCCGCTCCGTAAGGCTCCGTGCTCCGGCGACCTTCTGAACTGGTTCTAACCGCCCCGCATCTTCGCAACTGAGAATTGTGAGGCTGGAACTGGAAATTTACAGAGCAAGAAGATAAAAGCAAGTTGGGAGAAATGGGAGTCTTATCGCTTAAACATGTGTGGGTGAAATTTGAGGGGGAAATTGAAGCCATTAACATTATCAAACGAGCTTGAAAATTGATTCAGAATACAAACAAAACCTGTAAAAATTTATGTATGAACTAGAGTTTTGGATTCAAGATCATCCATTGAAGTTGAAATGGGTAGTGGGAAGCAAAGCAGTAAAGCAGCAAGAGCAAAGAACAAAAAAAGGGGCAGTGAGGAAGCCACGGTGTTTGGCGGGCTGGATTTTATTTCGGATAAAATGGAGATTTTTTCCGGGTTGGGTCATGGATGGCGGTGGGTTTTTTAGTCGACAATGGGCCTGTGGCTGTGGACCTTGGTTTTAATCCGTTTTCTTAAAAAAAAAAAAAAACTCCATATTTTTTATGGATGAAAAAAAAAAAAAACTCCATATTTTTTATGGATGAAAGTAAAAAATACTCCATTTTGATTTCTCCTATATTTTATTTTTGTGTTCTTATAATTAGAAATAAGATTTTAAAATAATTGGAAGAACATGATAAATATGAAAATGCATTTTTAACGTATTACTAGTATTTACTCGCACGTTGATTAAAATTTACACAAATTCTAATTAGTTAAAAAGTTATTTAGCCATTTCCATGACTTTGTGAAAGAAATTTTAAAATCTATTCTTTTATATTTTTTGAAAAAATTATAAGACCTAGTATTTTTATTTTCACATTCATTTTGAATAAAGAAAGTTAAACCACCAAAGTAAATTGACCTCAAACAATAGTTTTAAAATAATGTTGTTAAAGTCTGAATTGGAGCTCTCAACTTATACAAATATTGTAATTAAAAAAAACATTATGTGTTATAAACTACAACTAAGAAATGCTAAAAAGTTAGTAAAAACTTATAATTAATAATGCATCTCAGAAAAATAAGACAAGGTACCCTCTGTCAATTGAAAGTACATCACAACAATCCGCACCATCATCATGTAGCCATATAACATGCACCATCATTTGTAAACAATCCAAAACCACCATTTTAAAAAATAAAATGAAATCCTATATAACTAATCTTATCTTTTATTTCTCCTGAAGAATCTATTTAGTTGAGATTTTCTTTAACCTTAAGTAAATTATAAAATTGCTAATACGGAGGGATAATAATTAATTATTTTACAATATATTTTGCTGAACTTCTAAGTGCTCGCCACGTATGCAAAAATCATTTTGTATTAATATAAAAATTCCAATTTAAAGAATACAATAAATAGAACTTAAAAAAAATCAAAATGCCGTAGTCTAGAAAGAGTAGTTAACAAACAATTAATTTCAATTAACAATTTTTTATTGGGTATGCTGGCGGTGGAACTATTTTAGGAGAATCGCTTCAGGGTCAAGGTGATTTAGGAAAGTTTTGAATGAATTTTGAGTAATGCTGATTTTAGATCCAGATTGAAATATGGGGAAAATGATTGGGGGAAGTGAATTTAGGAGTGGACTGGGGTAAAGTAGTGTCAGAGGGAAAAAAAAAAAAAAAAAGGTTAAAAATTCAACTTAAACTGCAAAAAAAAAAATGAATTTTTTAAATTCATATTTTATTGATTTTATTATTTTTATTATTTCAGGATTTTTTCACTTTTAAAATTATTATTTATCTAATTATTTAATTCAAATTATTTTACAGAAAAATAAAATTTTACATTCCGGAAATACCTTTATTGACTTGACCTCAAATGTGATAAAAATGCCAGAATAGTGGTAAAGGAGAAAAAAAAAAAATTACAAATGTAAATGTAGAGAATAATTTTAATGGTAAAGAACAAAAATGTACATTTAACCAAATATAGAGAAGTTTATAAGAATTCGGTCTTTGTGCAATAGTTGAACATTGAAACACATATAAATTCATTTTAATGGCACATAATTCATGATCACAACGATATTTGCAAAAGGGAATGAGCCAAAAGGGAGAAACAATTTCAAAAATTTCAAATCGTAATAACTAAAGAGAACCAATATATCTTCAATCCACAATACTAATATCAGCAGACTATAATCTGCCTCTCAATTCCCACATTTTTTAGCGCATCAAATAATTGAGAGGATAAATTAAGAAGTTGGTTGAGTGATAGGGCCATGCAATGTAACCAAAGAGTTTATAAGTGTTTGAAACTTGAAAGTAGGCTAGTGAAATGTGTCAACATCAAATTTTTGGGGGTTGTGTAAATATACCTGATCTTTGATTAAAACTTAAATTATGATGTGACCAAAAACCTGAGGTAAATTGTCCTAGTTTACCAGACGGGGAAAATAGGCAATTACCTTAAAGCAAAACATGTACCAAGCTTAGTCTATCATGCATGAACCTGAACATATGTAGAAGGTCAAAATCATTTCTTTTTTCATGGGATTGTTTCAGTGTACTGAACTTGTGAGCTTCTTGCTAATGTAAAGGCATCTCCACTATTTACCATCGATGCCTACTTTGCAATTCCTTGCAATCTATCTTAGATGGTTTCTTAAATAGAACTTTTGCGGCATGTTTCCTTCTTTTATTTAGGAATATAGGGAATCAAACTATTTCGTGATACTCATTCTGTCCAAAAAAAGAAAAAAAGAAAAATCATCCACATTGAATTTTGATATCTATACAAAAAATATTACAAAATTAAATTTTAATATAAACTCTTCTTTTTTAGGACAGATGTAGTATTTGAATTTATGTGTAGTATGGAATCGCTATTTGTTCTCCACGGATTGAAATAAAATACTTCGTGTGAGGCATTTTAATTATTACTAGATGCTTGGGATATTTCGCTATTTTCCTTTTGGCCGACCGGTCACCTTTAGATATTTTTTTTTGATATGAGATTAAATTTTCTTCTGGAAAAATAACAATAAAAACTTTTTTTTTTTTGATATGAGATTAAATTTTCTTTTCGAAAAATAACAATAAAAACATAATTTAAGAGGAAAAATAACAATAAAACATAATTTTGTATTTTGCATAATCTTTTACCAAAGTTTCTTGATTTCTTCCACAACCTAACCCAAAATGACACAACCCAACACCACCACTATACCTTGCTGCCGCTTTCTCAACTCCCACAAGAAAAAAAAAACGTCCTACTCCTCGAATCCTATAACCAGTTTTATCTTAAGTCAAAAAAAAAAAAAGGAAACTTATAACCCACCCAAGATGAATGAACATTCTAACACGAGGAGCATAAAGTAAATGACATGCACTTGGAAAAGTACATCTATATGAAATACCATAAAAAGAGTTGGATCTAACTTAAGGTTTCCTTTCATCACTACACAATTGTATCTCCAGGCAACTAATCATAATCATGCATAGTGACCTCCAGTCTGCAGGCGCAGCGTCGATCTCATCACCATCCTCCATCTCAAGCTCATCAGGAGTTTGCTCTCCACAAAGCCTTCGTCCATCAAATAAGAAGGCAATCGATTTAAGGTCAACCGACTGTCTAATCATAGCGGCCGCAGCTGGGAGCGTGAGATTTATGTACCTCAAAATTAAATGGGTAGAAAGAATGATGTCTAGGGTTGAAAGTGTAAAAATTTATGTGTTTCTCGCATTTGGCATATGCGAAAAAAAATCGCAATTCCCTAATGCGAACGTAATTAATTCATTTTTAATTACTTAAATTAAACCAATATTAACAGAAGAAGTAAAAAAAAATATATTATGTTGAACTTTTGCATAAGGGAAATGCGAAACATTTCTATATTTAAATATTTCTACGAACGACACGGATGCTGTTGATGTTTGAAAATTTTGCGTGGGAGAAAAGAAAGATTCGCATATGTCAAATGCGAAATTTTTTATTTTATTCAAAAATATCTTATGACTCAATGTCAGATTTTTAGTTGCATTTGACCGAAATTTCACATTCAGCGAATGCGAACTTATCATTTTTTGCATATGTCGAATGCGAAAAAGGCTTTTTATCTATAAAAATCTTATTGGTCAATCTCTTGTGGACACGTGACAGGAACTGGATAACTATTCGCATTTCAGAAATGCAAATGTGATGCAAGTATGTTATTTAAATTCCTCGCCTCTCCAGAAACGGCAAAGCAAAACCCATACCAATAATTTTTTTCTTACATTGAGCCTAAAACTTCATCCCCGAGAGTCATTTGGATAGAGGCATTATATCAGATTGAAAGTTGTTGGCGGAAACGGAAGCAATTGGACGGAGAAAAATGGGTTAGAAACGAGAGGAATTCAATGGTTTGAGAATTGGAGAAACCATTTAGGTATGTTGTTTTGATGTTTTATTGAATATTGAAAATTTATAGTAATATTATTTATGGTGTTTTGATGTGCGTAATTATTAAGTTATAGTTTAGGTAGTTTATGAGAATTGTTAGTTGAAGTAAATATTGTTATGTATATATTTGATGTAAAATCAAGAATAGAAATTCTTGTTGTGATATAAAATGTAGAATTCCGTCGAATATTATGTGTTCTTTTGTTAATTTAGAGAATGACCCGGCTGATCTCGAATTTTGTCTTTATCCCTTAATTTTGTGTATTTTATATTCTGACCCAATTATTTGTAATGTTACTGATTTGACCCAATTTTTTTATTTTTTGTTTTTTTAATGTAGTTAATTTTATATTTTATCGTTAATGTCGAGTGCTAAATTCATCAATTGTTGAATAAATTTAGTTTTAACTGATCAAATGCATTATGTAAATATAAATTTATTTATTTGATCAAAATTTGTTCTTATTTTAATTGAAATTTTGTTATGTAGATGTTGCATTATATTTTTGAATTATTAAATTATGTTAGAGATTTTGCAGTATTTTTGGACTTATTGTACCCGTTATTTGGACTAAATTACTACTAGTGAGGTAGAATATTTTTATAACAAACATGAATTAGTGTATTTGTATGTTTAATTCAATAAAAATTAAATGTGCAGGCCCTTAATATGTCTTTTCTGGGTCCCTTCGATCTGAATATATTTTGGTCTAGTGATCGATCTTGTTGGGGAGATGGGGATAAGTTATTTCCGCCAGATGCAACAGTTCGTATCGAACGAGTGTGGATTTTCTCTGAACTTGATAATTATGTACACAGTCTGTTAGAATCTGAGGATCCAAAAATACTTCCTCTGCAATATGTTTTGTTCTGCACAGATAGGTACGGCAGAAGGGGGAAAGCGCCCATAAGAGACGACGAGTCAATGTCATGGATTTACCGAGG